ATTGCACCGCCTTTTTGTTACTACTTTCTTAGCGGGTCATTTAAACAAACTATGGCTCTATGGTATTTGAGTATCTGACTCTATGCAATTAAGTTGCAGTAGTTTTGCATTGCAATTTATTTGGAATATTGGAAATGTGTCTGTGCCACTTTCTTTCATTTTGGCACCTCACCGGAAAGACAGCATAATGAAATGAGTTAATCATTCTTTTTCTGTGGATGAAACCACGCATGTAATTCAAACGTGATTCGTCAGATATTCCTTCATTAATGTGTCAATAGCAATTATTGATTTTTTTCTGCCTGAAGGATTTTTTAGCTTCATTATCATATTGATGTGCTTTTGTTTTGAGCAATGTTTCCACTCTATTATTATTATTTCAAGATGTGTCTATTATCGATAATCAGCTATAGAAAATATCCTCTCAGAAATTAATGCAGACAAAGCTTCGCGGTGGCGAAGATTGCTGATGACCCGAATGCAGGTCAGCGATAGCTAATTGTTATGATTCCAGGCGAAGGAAATATCGTCGTGTGTTCGACGCTCGATGATCAGTCGTTTGCGATAACCGCGTGGCGTGGTAAGGTTACACTCTCTCCCTATTTGGACAAGGAAACTCGGTGTCACATTCTGCGAGCACTTGGCAGAAGTACAGCAACAATGGGTTCTTTTAACATGCCCATTTTTAAAAGATTTGATGAGCATTATTTTAGAATTGAATCTCACTCTGGCGCTTAACAAGGTCCCGACTTCTGAAGACAAGGAACCAAACACAAAAGCGGATGAAGAACATGCTTTAGCCACATGATCGGTAGGCATCGCGTCTCTGTTGACTCTTCCCTATTCATGTTGCATTGTTGAGCACCGATGCCGTCACTGCAATAAAAAAGATTTTCTGTATAGCGATTTTCTTTCTACCTTGAGCATGTCTGACAGATTCTGTAAATATTGAACACGCATATTTGGGAGAAATGGAATTTTGCTCATTGTCAAATTATGCAGGCATTCGAAACTGCTTTTATTGTTTCAAATTCATCTAATGAATGCCAACTCTTGAAACATTCCTTATTATTCAGAACAGCTTCTAGCCATCAGAATGATGCAAGATTATTTCGGTTCTTTGCAGCTACGAAAATAGCATGTATGTGGGTCCTTCTCCCGTTTTTTAGATATCTCAGAGCAATTCAGTATTATTGGTACACAATAATGCGTTGGTCGAGTAGTGCATGGAAACATCTGAGCGTTCAAGCTCACCTTTCTCTACCTGGTAGAATTGCATTCGTGTATACGCTAGATCGCTGCCCATGAATTCAAGTAATCTACGAAGTTCCAGAGTAAAACTAGAGAATCACGGTAAGATTTTTATCATAAAAAGTCACCTAGCGTAGGTAAGCGCAACTAGTAAGTCGATGACTGCAATAATGAAGATGAAGTGGTACCTTACTATTAAGTGTTACCTTACTACTATTACTACCACTAGTCCTAGTAAATTAGGAGCAAAATCTAATACTAGATATAATAGGACGCGTATATTAGGCCTTGCATAAAAATTAATACACACAGTCTCCGCTCAATCTCTGACTACCGATTCTGAACGAATATACAAGACTCGATTTAGAGTGCTTTTAGGCTACAACGATATTCTGATGTTGCCATACTTGTGCTTTATTGATACCTTATGCATGAACTTACAATATATTTGAAAAAGCATATTTAAAGCTACTTACACAATATTGCAATGTCACGAGCTGTGTTCGTTCGTAAATATATAACCTGGGCGATGTGCGATTGACGTTCAGGAACAAAAATATTTCAGTTAGCGTATTCAACTCCACCCACTTACGCCCTCATCATAATATGACATCTAACAAAGCCACACAGACGGCTCTGTCAGTTTGCCCCACCTCAAGTTATTTATAATATGGCTGCTGCCATGGATTATTATTGTCCGTAAAATCAATAGACGCTGCGTTTATAGTAATTTGTAGGGATGAAATTCGAAATGGGGTATAATCACAAAAGACTATTAAATACTACGTTTTATAAACACGATATAAATGTTTTAGTCGTAGAAAGTCAATAATCTTTACTGTGCTACAGGTGCTCGAAAAGTCATAATACCTAACTGTATATTGAGGAAATTAGCATTGCTTAAATAAATTAAACAATTTGAGGCCAATGCTTTTTTAATAGCTCAGTTCCTTTACATTGTCCGTTTGAGACAGATAAGTAGTAGATACATCCGGCTTTGTTGGGTAGTAGTTAATGGGATTCAGGAGAGCGCATATTTTTGCGTACTGTTTTCACTTAGAAGAATAGCCCTAAGAACGGATATTCAAACGAAGCACGGTTCGACATAATGCGCAGTATGCAATCGGGGTGTGACAAATTGAAAATTTAAGAGACGTAACGTCCTAGCGATCAGATGCTCTTATTGTCTTTTTTTCTGATTTAGTCATGAAATCGCACCTACTTACGCACCCAAAAATATAAGCTTCTTAAGTAGCTAAAAACTATAAAGAAGCCGTACTGTAGAACGATATAGCATTGTACAGTATTGCGAGAGTTAAACTGTACTAATTGCACGGTAATATAATTACCAGTTATATAGAATGCAATGTAGTGCTCTTAAATTCGACTTCGGTTTCGATGTCAATCAAAACAGATAACAGAGAACGATGCTTAGTGATAAACTTTGGCAATATACGGTGGAACTAATGATCATGCACGTCAGCGATTAACGTGTATCCTGGCCGAAACAACTGGTCAGCGACATTGCGAGAAACTTAGGATATATATCGGAGTATTTCAAGGCAATGGACAATAAAATTTAGAAAAGGTCCTCTAACCGCAAATTCGGATGGACGGTTAGATGTTGAAGTTCTCAAATGTGGCAATAAACGACTTAATTGACGTTGCGGTGCAAAGCAACTGAACAATTTTTTGCAAAGTTAATTACATATAACCGAGCATACGAACGGCTGAAGAAGCAGAATGATTTGAAGAGTTATCGTATATTACTGCGAGAAATGTTTGCGCAATTGAGAAACATGCAATTGGTACATAAACACAATGCTCAGACATTGCTATTAAATGCTTATTACATTTAGATCAGAGTAGGTTACGGTATTTAGATTTCAAATTTTTCAGCTCTTGCTCAGAGAAATTTGTTATGCGCTTGCTTTGTCGCAAAGCGAAATATTTTCTTCAGTTAGGTTATGAAAGTATTTTGAAGCTTGTATGACATTCAGACTTTCGTTTAAGTGATACGTTATACTACAGTCAATAAAGGTTCGAGCTTCTGCCATGTTGTCGTCGTGAAATCTAAAGCTTCATAAGTTCTTCTTAAACAGCGCAGTCGTATGAAGCTTGACACTTAGCACGATTAAAATCGTATCATAAATTTTCATATACGTTTTACTATGTTGGACATTGTTTTTAGGCTATAGATTAATACTACCGTCTTAATGTTTTATCTATTCATATTTTGTTGCATAAATTGCCGTTTCGAGTCATATTTAGCTGGTTATCAAGGTACAGTGATAAAAATGGATTTGATAAAAGTCAAATCGTTCAGTTAAAATTCGGGATCATGAGAGACTGAATAGGGTTTATCGTTGAAAGCCAAATGGTTAAAATGAACACTGTGGAACGGAAGTGTTACCACATGATTGACATATTTTTTCACTATTTCCCAGCTTTGCTATGTAAATCATTATTTGCTTAAAATACAAATACTCTACTGATCAAAAGGTACAGAGAATGAAATTTATCGCGCTTGTTCGCAGGTCGGCTATTTTTTTTTGATTATATTCTGTTTCCGGGGTAGGTAAGGAGACTTTCTCTGCAGTGAATATGGACAAACAGGTTAAGGGACTTTTTTGGCAGCTACAGTTTAGCAGGTCTGTTGACAGCTGATACAATGCGTATGAATTTCTGAAGACGCTCGTTTAGTTATGGGTACCAGGTGTTAGATGTTGGGTTTTATACATACTATTGTATTTGTATACTTTGTACTATTGGTATTGTTATAACTTTATGCACATTATGCTATATCACTTTGCTCCCTGATCACGGATGCTGTATAAATCAGAACGTTCAAAAAATGATTAAATTTTATTGTGGTTTCATTCCGTAACGGATTGTCTTATGTAGATATATTATGCATTGTAGTATTTATACAGTAGACATAGTACAAGGCATCTTTAGACAAGGGGATGTTACGAACCGGAGAACAAAACAAGAAGTTTACTTGCATTCATATCTTTTCCTAAAACTGCTTTTCAAACACCCTCTGCTGGTCTTACTAGTTCTAAGTTTTTGACGAAAGTGGTGAACGTTTACACAGACCATGTTTGTATAGAATATGGGTATCTACATGAATGGATACAAAGCTGACAAAAGGTTGCAAGTATATTCGAACCGTTAGTTGCTTGCTTCACTGATTATTCACATTCACATTGG